GATTATCAACTGTAACATGTAATTCGTAATGTGATTCTTAATTACTTGAAGCTTTCGTCTTGATGATTGAAATGCCTTCGGAACCGACCCATCCCACTCGAGTCCTGCGAGACCGCAAAAAACGTACTTCAGATTCACCGCAAGTTATGGAAGATTTGTCACCACAGAATGTTGTTGGAGGTTCGAAAAAGTCTACCAAGCGGAAAAAGGGATCAGCAGGTTCAGATACCGGTAAGCTGTCTTCTTCTAGTATACTGTTTGTTTCTTGATGTCGATAGTGTATAACTTATATCGATCCCATTCATCCTCTGACATCTCAGGAAGTGCGACACACGACCTCACCAAAGACATTCCCCGACGTCTTGAGAGCGTAGGGGTCCCAGTTGGAGCAAAAACCTCCCGAGCTCGATTGGTTGAACTGCTTGATAAATACACCAAACCCAAACGGCCTAGGCTAAGCAAGCGTACATCGACTTCCAGGATTCCCTCGGCTGGCGAGACTAGGACAAAGGTTCAACTCACCAATGAAGAAGAAGATGTACCAGTTGCGAGTTCATCAAATACATCCTCTCACGTTCAGCAATCTTCCTCTCATCCAAATGATCCGTTTGCACCAACTGATCACGATTTCAACATTCATGAGCCCTTTGAACTGATTAGGATGGTTGAGAATGTTGGCTTAGATGGCCGAGGCATGACTAAGGATGAGCTAGTCAGCATCTGTAATGAGTATCGGGATCTAAGTAGGTATTTGCTTGAAGTTCGTTCAACATCCGATTGTCAAGCTGACCTGAAGGAATGATTTGAGCAGTTGTTATACCGAGGCATCTTTTTCGATTCACCCTTCAACCAACCCCTCCCGTGCACGAAGGTTTGTACCTCCGTTCAAAATTTCAGCAATATTTGGCCCAATACCTTCCACTGAACTGTGATCAAATATCACAGTTTCTCATAGCGAAGCCAGTGGTCACCAGCCTCCTAGTCAAGGGCATGATCAGACTTCAGGTATTCAAGATGGTTAGTCGATATCAATATATTCATCTGCTGGGATGGACAAAGCTGACCCCAAAACTTTTGGCCCGCATGATGTACATGTCACATAGATTCTGCTCACGTTACGGTGTACCCTGGCTCCAGCGCAATACCCTCCAAATCCAAAAGGAAAGGGAAGGGCAAAGCAAATATCGGCGAATCTGATCTTCCATCATCCGACGCTCCTTTAGCTGGGTCAGATAATAATCCATCCGATCGTGAGCAGAAATTTTCAATACATCTGAATCACACTAAGATACAGTCAAGTTAATTATCCTTCTATCATCGAAATCAGCCATCAGAAAAGGAACAAGCAAAGGGAAAAGCCGAGCAATTTCTCCTTTGCCTCATGTATCCTTTGAAATTGCGGGAACTTCACCAGGTAGCATGTTCCTTTTCTTCAATTTCTGACACCACATATCATATTACTGACAATAGAATTCCCTTGATTCTGCTCGCACCTCTTGTCTCAGCAGAATCCAGTCAGCGACAAGGTTATAACGAACCAGAGAAGAACAAAACCTCAGTCCCAGGTTTGTTGTTTCAGAGTTTCTACGTTCACCCCGTACAAATATGATGCTTTGTCTTACATCACTCTACACCTGTTAACTCTTCAGTTTCCATTGAGATACAAAGTCATGAACAAGAGAAAACCAAGATACCAGAACCAGGTGAGTTGTTTCAGAGGTTCATGCTTAGAACCGCGACAATATTTTGATACAGACTTTCACATCACGCAGTTCCTT